GTCCATATACTAAGCCTATGGTTCTTCTCTCAGACAATGGGACAGAGTTCAAGAATCAGCTAGTAGCACAAATATGTGTCCAATATGGAATAAAGGAAAGTTTTGTGACAGCGTATCATCCCCAGGCTATTGGCCTTGTTGAGAGAATCAATCGCAAGATCCTGGAGATACTTCGCCCGTTTGTGTGTGATTTGCAATACACATGGGAAGATTGGTTACCACAGGTTGCAGCGTCGGTCGACATACACCAGATAGGTGCGGCCAGCCATAAGGAAGTAATCAGCAGAAACTGAGTCGAACACTCTACTTGGTGGGTCATCGTCCTGCCACAAGGGCTCGTTCTGTTGCTTAGGGAGAAGGGGACGGCATTGGGAACAAACAGAGACGACTTTCTCGATGTCCCGTTCGATCCCTGGCCAATAGGTAGTCTGCCGAGCCTTTACGTTTGGTGCGTTACAATCCTTAATGGCCGTCATGATAGTGTTACAGAATCTCCCGGCGAATGTTGTGGGGTATATGCAGCCTTGACCCATACACAATGAGGTTGTCGTCCAGGGCCAGCAGGCTATGGCTGGCCCAGTAAAGCCGGAAGAGTGGTTCCAACTCGTGGTGATGCTCAGGGAAGCCGGTGATTACTACGTCCCTTCTCCAAGTTTTGGTCCTTGAGAGGTGCCAAACGAATGCCCTCCTCATAGACAGCATTGAGGGCAGACACCACAGCAGCGTGGACAGGATCCAAGTCATCACCGCCTGATGCGGTGCCACAGTCTGCAGGATTTTGAGCTGGCGCACGGGACAGAGCGTCAAGAGGGCAATGAGAAGTGCCCTTCTGCCAGCGAGCTATGAAGGAGTAACCAGAAAGCTTTTCTCGTATGCACTGCAGGTGAGGATTCTCAATTTCGCTTAGCAACTTCATGTTGAGGATTGGAACCAAATGAAAGTGAGGAAGGCCTGTGAGGTAGGTACCGCATTTTCTGACTGCCCAGAGGACGGCGGCCAGTTCCAACTCAGTGTCAGTAAGGAATTTCAATCAGCACTGACATTCTATTGGTGTAATCACCCTCCAGGAGCTGGTGAATGGCTCTGTTCTTATACTTAGCCCCAGGCCTCGTTTCGAGAAGTGCCTCGTAGGATGCATCACCTTGTCACGTGCGACTCGAGTGGGTTTCCGACACACAACCGAAAAATGGTCTCGCTTGCCACAGCTCAAACAGCCTTGTACACTTGCACGTCCCTAAGACAGTCCTTGCCACGCCTAAAATATAAACCGGCTTTAACTTTCTCACTGGCACTCCGGTTTTGCTTGTACCGCGACACTTTAGCCAACGTAAGACTTGCCTAGCCTCGAATCACTGCACCGCTCACATTGACATTTTCTGATGCTCGGCATATGTTGATGGTACTTTGCAATTTCAAGTCTTTCTCCTCGAGCATACATTTCAATGCTTCCTCATCACGAGTAACCAACAACAGTCTGGTCTCTAAGACGATTGTCTATACACGACTCACAAAAGTCACAGAAATTTGCTATTTCCTTCACAGCACACGGGAAATTGTCAAGTGTTTCACTCGGTTTTTGAACTCTTGAGTAGAAGTCCCCTCGGTTCATGATGACGTTACGCTGTCCCCGGAGATGTGCCTCCATCACAACTAGAACAGGCTCCAACTCTACATCATCCGCTACACCAATTCCGTAACGAAAGATTCGTGTCTACTCGCCGTCTAGCACAGACCCAATTGCTGCTCTCTGCTCCATTGAGGGCAGGCAGGGAGGAAATTTTCTTCAACGCCACGTACTTTCATTGTGAAGTAGAGGACGACAGCTGCCGGGCGGGTGCAGCGCTGACAGAAGACTTGGCCTGCCGTGGAGCACCGCTGCTGGTGGCGGCGTCGCCACTTGTAGTCGTTTCGGCGCTGTGGTAACTTGGCGCCTGCTGAAAGGCCATATGCTTCGGGATTTGGCTCATGCGTTCTCCCCTATGCTGGGATTCTTCCTGGGCAACTTAGCAATCTCTGCCTGCTGCACCAGGAGTGCCCTCAGCTGCTCCATTTGCTTCTCTATCTAGAATATGTAGAAACAAGCCATAATAGGCGAGCACTGGCTCTTACTCACTGTACCATGTTAAAATGCTACTCCGTGCCGACGGTTCAAAGAAACAGTCTTCACAGATGCAATTTACTGGGAGAGGTCTGTACAGTGGTGTAGCAGAATACAATCTCTTTTACAGGGTAACATACAAGAAGCACGAAACCTCGTACCACGTCATCTAACTAATCAGACAATCAACCGACAACCAACTTTCATTCACACCACTAGGTAGCAGCACTCGTGCACTCGTCACGCACGCCACTCCTGCACACGCTCATTCATGCCACACAGTGGTTCACTCACTTGCGCTCATTCGCATTACATAAACACCATACAATCCACTGGAGCAAGTAGTTGCAACGACTGGGGAGAGGCAGAGTTGCAATGGACTGCCGATACCCCAGTTTGTTGGGTTTCACCTCAGTACCCTGTCCAATTTGAATTGCCTTCATCCGCATGTGGTCATTAGGTTCCCATGTTAATTACCTCTTCCGTGTATTCTGCTGTTGGGGCCTTATTGGAGCTCTGTAAGCATGTCTGCCTTATGCTGTGCTCACTGTAGATTAATCGTTCAGGGTTTACTCCTGTAGCCTTATACCTCCCAAGGTCAATCTGCAAGGCAGCGGAGCAGTGGTTGGTAGGCTCCGGGTCGTGTCCACATGCCAGTGGGCTTATGCGCCATCCCTTTGGGGCCCACTGCAGTTCCGAGATCCCTTGGTGGTCTAGCCTGTAGCTGCGAAGCACCCAGTTACCGTGTGTTGCCACGAGGAACCACAGCAGGAGTCTTGATGGTGAAGAGGCTGTGTACTGGCAAGGGAAGACTTATGCAAGTTTGCTTCGCTGTTCACCACGAGTGCTAGCCAGCGGCAATAGCTGAAAGAGAGAGGAAGCAAGCAATGCCTGCACCTTAACACTAACATAATACTGCCACAGTAGACACATTACACCACCCTGTGTGCTCACACACACACACACACACAGACATCGAGTACTAACTGGGAGAGGGTAACAGCTGGCAGTCGTTCCTATGGTGAGAGACATAGGCTGCGGCAAGAGAACCATATATTGGACTACCAATGCTCAGCAAGAATGTGCATGTGTGTGTGTGTGTGTTTTACATAGACTTTTGACCATTCTGTGTTGATTTGTGTATGGAAAAGAAAAGTCCTGTATTTTGGCGTTCGCTGGCGTGTCATTTAATTATAGCTTATGCTGATGTACTGTACGTTTTAGCCTAGATGATCCGGTCGTGCACTATCAAAACATATACAAACCAGTCTTCTGAAGAAGCACAGAAAAAAAAGACAAAAAGAAACCAACCAAATGGAAATAAATATTAAAATTTTCTACTGTTTCTACTTCTGAAATAACTCATCCTTCTACTTCTACCGCTACCTCTACTTAATTTACTACTACTATGCATTCGAGTTAAAAGAAAAAAAAGACAAGGCACAGCCCAAGGATATGCTGGGGCTTTGGCCAGGCCTAAGACCTTTGTGGTCCGGAGGAATAGGTTTCTGTCAGGGCGGATCCAAATGCAGAGTAGAAATAATCCCGTTCTGGAGATCTACGGCCATGGTGGACTCTGAATAGGATTTACCCAACCAGAGGGGTCATGTCTTCAGTAAGTCAAACGGCTCCTTAGAGTTTTCCCAGGCATAGGGGTGACCCAAAAGCCGATCCCCCACAACGCAGCAGACGACAGGTAAACCCTGCCCTTAATCACTCATCAACCGTCAAATTTCATATTACACAGTGGATTAGTAGAGCTATATGCCAGCCGTTTTCTGTCTACAAGGGACGTTTCTCGTGGCTAAGCTAACACAACACAACACAACACAAAATCTGATGATGATGCACCGCTAACACAACACCTGGTGATGGTGCAAAGCTAAAATGTGTTTACTTTATTCAACTTTTCATAGCACTTGGAATGATGAAGTTAGAAATATACACAAGCCCAAATATTTGTAACACAATTGCAATGTTAACTCTGCTGTTTCACCCTTACAGGGTTAACCATGCTGTTACACACTTAGAAGGTTAATTCTGCTGCTACACACTTACAAAGTTAACCCTGCTACGACACACTTACAAAGTTAATTCTGTTACTACACACTTACAATATTAGTTCTGCTGCTACATACTTACAATATTAACTCTGCAACATACTTACAACATTAACTCTGCTACTGCACATATATGAGGTTAACTCTGCTTCTACATACTTACACGATTAACTCTGCTGCTATACGCTTACAAGATTATTTCTCTTGCTTCACACTTACACAATTAATTTTGCTGCTACGATTACGAGGTTAACTCCACTGTTACACAACTACAAGATTAACTCTGTTGCTACCCACTTAAGAGATTAACTCGACTGCTACACACTTAGAGGGTTAACGATGGTGCTACATACTTACGAAGTTAACTCTACTGCTACACACTTACAAGGTTAACTATGGTGCTACATACTTACGAGGTTAACTCTGCTGTTATACACTTATGAGATTAACTCAGCTGTTACACACACTAGATCAACTGTGCTGCAACAAACTTACAAAGTTGACCGTAATTTGGTAGCATGACAACAATGTCGCTTCCAATAAGTCCTGCGATGCTGAATATGCACAAGTACTTAAGTTGTTGTTTTTTCTGGTGTGTATACATAAATACGACATATACATTATCTCTTACCTGAGTAAATTTTTTAATGACAGAATGTTGCAAATAATTTCTTAGTATGGAATATTTTTCCATCGAATGGTATGATGGGGAATAATTTGCTTACTATTTTTAACATTTAATATCGACAAATAAATTATACCCATTTCCTAATCCTCTATCAACTCATGCGCACAAAGACAACCTCTCTCTTTCTCTCTCTCTCTCCTTATGGTTCACTCACCGACCACGGTCATGTTGACGGCATGATCATCGGTCTCAAAGAAAGGTTTGTCGCCCATCACCTCACAGCGGAAGGTGCCGGAGGTGGCTCTCGTCACCCCCGTCAGTCGCACCGTCGACCTCGAGCTTCCCTGTTCCTGTACAGAATAAAATAATATTGAGTTGCCCCGAGATAACTGGTAAGGAACATTTTTTTTTCTGGGCAGGATAATTATTGTCAGATGTGTTAAAGAAAAAACTGGGTTCTGTGAAAAAGGAAGATAAGCTCAGTTTCACACAGGATGATATGCTAGCTACACTGCAGATGGGAATTACGTGGCTTTGAATTGCTTCAGTTGTTTTTCAATGAGGCTGCTCATACCGAGATGATGTTATTCGTCAAAGTTTGGTCTTTTCAAATTTGTTTTATGTACCCATCTTTGTTTTTCTTTTCTTAGACATTCCTTGAGTCAGCAGTAAAATTTCCTCCTCTTCTTCCTGTTCCCCCTCTTCCTCATAAAACCACTTTGCACTGCCTTCCATTTTGACTGATACAACGATACTGAGTCTTTCGAAATACTTGGCTTACATATTATATAGTGTGAACACTCACATAGTAAGCATTGAGACCAAAAATCTGCAGCATAGCTAGCATAGCATCCGGTGTGAAACGGTCAAGGCGTGTAAGAGAAGAAAGTGAGTTATAGTATAAGGAGAAAATGAAGTGTGTGAGAGGGTAGTCGGTCAAGTCTACCCCTCTCCTCCCGGTCAACTCAATCCCCTGTCATTTCAATCCTGGTCAGCTCATTTCTTGTCAACTAAACCCCTGTCAATTCAACCCCCCAGTCAATTCAGCCCCCTGTCAACTCAATCCCTAGTCAACTCAAACCCCTGTCAACTCAACCCCATGTCAGTTCAACCCCTGGCAACTTAACTCCCTGTCAAATCAACCCCTGTCAACTCAACCCCGGTCAACTCATCCTCCTGTGAACTCAACCCCTGTTAAATCAATCCCTTGTCAACTCAACTCCCGCCACTCAACCCTCTACCAGCTCAAACACTATCAACGCCTCCCCCAGTCAATTCAATCACTGTCAACTCAACCCCTGTCAACTCAACTCCTGTCAAATTAATTCCCCATCAACTCCTGTCAAATTAACCCCATACCATCTCAACCCCTGTCAACTCATGCCCTTGCAAACTCAATTCTGTCAACTCTACCCCTAGTCACACCAACCCCCTGTCAGTTCAACTAACATGCCTTTATGGTTAATTATATAAGTAAATCATGATATGTTAGCTCCCTCCCTGTAGCCTGTGCTGGGTGTCACCAGTCCCAGTCTTATGATGTGGTGTCGGAATGCTGCACGAGACGCTTTTCTTTATTATGTCTTTGTTGTTTTTATTGTACATGATAATAATAGGTCTGAAGCGTGACATGGCTGTTCATTACTGTCTTCAAATTGCTAAAGTTAAGAAACTAGGAATATAAAAAAAAAGTACACAAATTGGCCAATTACCTTATTGCAAAATGAACCAGACAAAATTCGATGTCTTAGAGCATTTTCTGATATGTAATAATATATGGACTAAAAACAACAAAAACATTATGAAAAATATATACAAAAAAGTACAAAATGTATGGTTACTTAGCCGGGAATTCCCAGCTGGAATGACTGGAGGTTACGTTGCCGGGATGCTAAGTTAGGTTGGGGACGTTATGTATCCTGGTATATGATTGTCATTAGGTTTGGTTATTTAGGTGTATGAGAGTATAGTCAGTGATGGCCCAAGCTGTCTAGTCTCACGTCTCACACTTACCAACCTAACAGAACCTAACTATTACCGAAATATTGCCAAGTACCTAGCAATACCTGAGATGCGGAATGCGAGCTATCGAACAACATTCGGAAGCTTTTCAAAAGAAGAAAACTTCTTCCGATACTTAAGAAAATCCCAAATAAGGCAAGGAATATTTTTTTTACCAAACCAAAACCTAATCAAAAATGAAAGACCAAAAGAACCTGGGAACCAAATCTCACATATCAGGATACCTAACTTAACTTCTTAGCTATATATCCTCTAGTCTGCCTAGCTAGAAATTCCCGGCAAAGTAGCCACTTCCAATATATATATATATATATATATATATATATATATATATATATATATATATATATATATATATATATATATATATATATATATATATATATATAGCTGCACTGTGTCCTGAGACCAGGTCCACAATGGTCAGGTCAGGTCTCACCCTCCTCTGTATATATACACTTTGATTTGTATTACTCTCTCTAGTCTGTACTCACCCCTGAAGATGTGAATTACACGAAAGCGCTTGGGAACTTCGTGTTTTCTTCTTTCCTTGTGGTTATCAGCATATACCTAGATCACGCGTACCTACAGTGATTTACTTGCATATATATATATATATATATATATATATATATATATATATATATATATATATATATATATATATATATATATATATATATATATATATATATATATATATATATATATATATATATATACGCACAGCACTCAAATTCTGTGTTAGAGGACTGAGACGGGTGACATCCAGTGCAGGGAAAATGCTGATATAACACGATTTACTTTTGTTTAAATATACAGTTAATGTATGCTGGTTGAACTTATGAGGGGCTGAGTTGACAGGGGTTGAGTTTACAGGGAGTTGAGAGGGGCTGAGTTGTCAGGGGGTTGAGTTAATAGGAGGTGAATTGGCAGGGGTTGATCTGATCAAGGGTTGAATTGACAGGGAGTTGTTTTGATAGCAGTACATGTTAAAAAAATCCTAAGTATAACACATAGAGGTACACACTCACATCCACATGTATGTTGGGGACCTTGTAGACACGGACTTGAGGGTCCCTCTGGGGGATGTATTCATAAAACTGGTTCACGTCCCTGTACCACTTGACCGAGTACAGCGGATCGGGTCGGTCGGTACTGTATTCATAGTGACACGTAAGCTTCACGGATGATCCGGAGACCACAGCTGGCGGCACCAGCACCCCAGACACCCGTAGACCCCAGCCTGTAGGGAATGAACCCAGTCATAAGACCCAAGACACTAGCAGTGAACCCGGTCTTAAGGTCTCACTCATTCACAGACCCCATCCGGTAGGAGAGTGAACCCAGTCTTAAGACCTCTGACATCCACAGACCCCGGCCTAAACTGTAGGGCAGCTGTCATAGTCAGGATTCATACTTGTTTTGTAGAATTTAGGTGAAGAAGAGTATGATTAAAGAAACAAAGTGTACTATGACTGACTGGAATAAGGTACAGGTTACAGGTTAATTTAATGCTTAGTGTGAAAGCGGTTTTCCAACTTATACCATTAGCCCAATAGTGATAAACATATGAACAGTACTCGTATTATTATGCCCAAAAAATCCCGAACATACTAAATTTACGAGGACTTCAGATGAACCTAATTAATATACCCTAATGATCTCCAGCATTAACAATTATTATACATGACAAGAAATGAAACCCTAGTGCACCTTTGACTGTCACACTTACATCCTTGTGTAAGATGAAGCGCACAAGCGTTTACAGCGCCCAGCAGGGAAGCATGCTTAGACTTGACTATCAACCTCTTCCTTGACTGTCACTCACCCTTGACTGTCACACTCACCCTTGACTATCAGACTTGGGCTTGACTGTCAACCTCACCCTTGACTGTCACACTTACCATTAAATGAAACACTCACTCTCGACTGTGAAAATCCCTCTTGACTGTTAGTTTCAGCGTGACTGTTACATTTGACTCACATTTGACTCTTACACTTACCCTTGCCTGTTACATTTATCCTTGATTGTCGGACTCACCATTGACTGGTACAATTATTCTTAAGTATCAAACTCTTCTTTGACTGTCACACCCATCATTAATTGACACACTCACTCTTGACTGTGACAATCACTTTTGAGTGTTAGTGTCACCATCGACTGATACACTTATCCTTGATTGTCATACTCACCCTTGACTTAAATTTAACCTGGACTGTCAGACTCACCCTTGGCTGTCATAATCAATCTTTACTCTCATATTCATCCTTGAATGTCATACTCACCCTTGGCAGCCAGTCCCAAGATCAGCAAGAGGCGGATGGCCGCAGCTGCAGCCTGATCGAGCGCCATCCTGCAACAGCGAGAAGAACGCGTCTTCAGGCTTCACCACCCCTCATCACCCACCTCCTGCAGAAGGTAAAGACGAAATCCATTTTTGTATATATATATATATATATATATATATATATATATATATATATATATATATATATATATATATATATATATATATATATATATATATATATATATATATATATATATTTCATTAGCCCAATAAAGCACGCGGACTTCTACATACAATCAACACCTCAACCCGCCAGGATTCGAACCCACGGCGCCATAAGCTCGTTGAACAGGCTTTGTGTGAAATATAAGAAAGTCTAGGACTGCTTTTAGTATCCTGGTGGTCCAGCGGTTAGCGTTCCCAGGTCACAGTCATAGGCTTGTGGGCCGTGGGTTCGAATCCTGGCGGGTTGAGGTGTTGATTGTATGTAGAAGTCCGCGTGCTTTATTGGGCTAATTAAATATATATGGATCCTCGTGTTTCGAAGCCGGATTTGGTAAAACGTTACTCTGACCACCTACGTGATACGGGTGGTCCCCATTAGAGGTTCACGGCGCCATAAGCTCGTTGAATAGGCTTTGTGGGAAATATAACAAAGTCTAGGACTGCTTTTAGTATCCTGGTGGTCCAGCGGTTAGCGTTCCCCGGTCACAGTCATAGGCTTGTGGGCCGTGGGTTCGAATCCTGGTGGGTTGAGGTGTTGATTGTATGTAGAAGTCCGCGTGCTTTATTGGGCTAATGAAATATATATGAATCCTCGTGTTTCGAAGCCGGATTTGGTAAAACGTTACTCTGACCACCTACGTGATATGGGTGGTCCCCATTAGAGGTTCACTGCGCCATAAGCTCGTTGAACAGGCTTTGTGTGAAATATAACAAAGTCTAGGACTGCTTTTAGTATCGTGGTCCAACGGTTAGCGTTCCCCGGTCACAGTCATAGGCTTGTGGGCCGTGGGTTCGAATCCTGGCGGGTTGAGGTGTTGATTATATATATATATATATATATATATATATATATATATATATATATATATATATATATATATATATATATATATATATAAATAAATGTTAGCGGGAGAGAGAAGGGGAGAAGAGAAGACGGGAATGCTGCGTTTAGCACGTTACAGGGGTGAGATGCAGCATTTAGAACAAGTCTTTTCTGGGGGGGGGGTCGTTGCATACTTTTTCTCAGCACATGAGGACAGTGCTGTCTTTTTTTTAGGGGGGTCGATTGTAATATTTAGAAATTTCAGTGTAAATTCAAACGCCGCGCCATTGGCGATACTGAGTTCAAGGTAGTCTGAGGGAAGACAACGCTCCTGCACGTAGTGAGAATTTCTGGAACTAGGCCTATACGATATTAAATGTAATGTACCGAATTAATATGGAGGCGAATTATGAAATTAAATATCAGTTATTAAATTAAAACTAATCATAGATCGTTTCCCAGTCTGAAAATGTTGCGTACGTCCTAATTAAGCTGTTAATCGTCTGGTAAATAAGCCACTCCTGAAGAACGTGAACCAATGAGAAAGCGTGGCTTGTGTAATGGCCCCTGTCTCATCAACAGAAGTATTATATAAATGGGTTCTTACATCTGATTAATATTCAGATTTCACCCCCTGTAACTTTCCCAAGAGGGAGAAGCTCATATGTCTGCATCTATGTAAGCGCGCATTAGTGTGATGCCTGTCACAGTGACTCACACCAACTTTTATCGAACGGACGTTGATCCACGTATATATTTACATAAACGCCGTCCTCTTTCTCATTCATTCATAAATAGTGGAACTTACGGATGATCTACACTCAGGAATTATAGACATAATCCTTTTATAATAAAACAAGAAACTTCAATTGGGTTTCGTTACCAAAAGCCCAATTATATTTATGTGTTACCAACCTGGTTAACTGGGAACTAACCTACGTAACATATACTTAACATATAGGTGGCAGCCAGGTGGTCAACGGAAATCTCCTTCCGGTATCCATACCATGACGTCTTTTTTGGTGAAAACAAAGATACAAAAACAGTGAAGTGTTACATAATCCGAGTGTTAAAAATATATCCCGTATCGAGACGATAATTAGTGAGTGCTACTCATCTCTGACACCCTCAAGAGGTGGAGAATTATTAATATATCATACAGTCTGTTTGGTGAAAGTCCTGTTAATAACAAGTAATGAAGCCCCAAGTCAGCATTCTACAGGACAGTGTTGCAGATGGTTTCATAAACTTTACTAACAAGTGACATTTCACAAGTAGCTGGACGGTTGTGTGGTGTCGCGAGCGTCGATTGCAGTATATCCGGTGTCATCAGACAGTTCTCCATATATACGAGACTCCAGAGGTTTGGCGCACGGCAGAAACGGCAGCGACTCAGTAGCGGCAAGAAGACTCATATCCCTCATCTCAGCAAAAATCTGTTCAACTGTGGAGGTAATCCCCTATCGTGGAGTGGACTCGCCCGACGTCAGGTGAATTCCTGCTCGTCATCCTACGTCATACTCGTTGCCAGGGACGCCAGCTAGCGGCACGCGCAGTGAAGGACGATTGATGAGGCCCCGCCTTCTCTCTCTACTACAGATACCAGCTGGACGGATCGCGTTTTCTATACAGACGCAAGGACCCCTGTAATAGGTATTTAAAGTATACATAGTTTATACACACATGAACACGTTCGAGACATAGGTGTATGTCATTGATATAGGTGTCTTACGTATATTCGTGTGTACTAATGTACTAATTGCTAACCCTACAATGACTTCCTCTAACACTCACCCCAATACTACTACCATGTCAACGAAATCTGATAACGTAGGTCATATAATGCCGCGTGGCGACTACGTTCGAAATTTTACGGGCCAAGATGATTTTCGGGTAGCGTATTTCATTCATGCGTGTGAAGACACCATGCGCATCGGTAAAATAACAAGTGACGAAGAGAAAAAAGCATTTGTACGTTCCCATATTACGCAGGGATCTTACGCCGGTAATCATTTAAATGCGTATGGTTTACAGCACCCTAGTTATGAGAAATTCAAGTGCACGCTTCTTGGAATATTTGGGGGCAGGTCCCAGTTGGGCCAATTACAATGGATCTTCAGATGGTTGGATCGTTGTACGCCAGTGATTCACGCCCAGACACCCGTGGTGGCAGTCGGCATCGCAGGAGAGCTTCGCCAAGATATGGAAGCGACTTTTCGAGGTTCAAATTGGTACGACCCAGATGGTAAAATGTCAGCTACCAATGTGGAGACGTTGATAGAATTAATTAGCTTCCTGTTAGTTGTTCGTCGTCCCCTATACAGCCGGGCACAAGAGGTACAGTTTGAACCACCTATGGATATGGTTGAATACGCAAACAGACTCTGTCCAACGGCTACGGGCCCTCTAATGGCGCAGCCCTCCATGACTGCGGCGCATCCCTCCACGTCTACGGCGCAACCCCAGATATCCCAGATGGCTCACATGACTCCACCCCGAATTCCTCATACAACACCAATGGCCCCGATTGCACCTCAACACCGGACATATAAACAAGGTACTCCTTTACGATGTGCTCATTGTAATAAACGTGGCCATGTAATTGAAGACTGTTTCCAGCTCCAGGGTACTAGTGCAAAATTCAAGGAGACATCCAGTGCCAAGCAGAACACAAGGTCATACTCGAAAGCAGCTAAGGCGACTTCTCCACCTACCCAGAAGACGCGCAAGTGGTGCGCACTACACAAGTCGACATCTCATAGCACACAAGAATGCGGCTTAGTAATGAAGTCCAGGAATGTAGACTTTAGTGAAACACAAATGTCGTACAAGCGTAAACAGAAGCGTCCCCAAGACAAGTCGTCGGGGGAAGACCAGCGCTCATCACAGCAAGGAGAGGGATAGGTGGAGTATTTCCTGCTTCTCCTCACAGCATTTCTATAGCGGCCTCGTTAGTAGCGGTGCTAAGCAAAGTGGAAGTGTTGTCAGTGCCGGTGAGGGTTGATAGTACAAGATTGGATCTTGATATTGACACGGGTGCAGGCGCTAATGTTTTGGCCTTGACATCCTATCAGGAGTTACAACGTCAATTCCCTCACCGCGACTTCAAATGGAGACTTAGTAACGCTGAGCTCGATGGAGTATCAGGTACTCAGTTGAGCATTAACGGAATGGTGAGGTTACCACTCAGATTTCCAAGACGTGGTCCTCCCTTCTACGCAGACTTCTATGTAGTTCAGCAGTTCAATTTGCCAGCTGACGGGTTACTTGGTCTCCCAACTCTTAGAAAGAACATGATAGATGTTCATCCACGTAATAATACTATTACGTTTAACGGTGTTTCCTACAACGCTATGAGTCATTCTGAACCTATGCTCACCTCTAGATCGAAAGTGTTGTCCACCAATCCTATTAAGAGGAGGGCGGAACATGCGTCAAAGCTACCTCATGACCCACACTTTCCCAGCGTGATTATAGCAGCAATAGTTGGAAGATAGTACCTGCAATTTTGAAGAGTACTCTCCATCACCAGAATGAGGAATTCATCAAAGCAACTGTCGAATTACCCCACGTATACACGGGCAAAGATGTTGTGTGTCTCCCGGAAACGTGCAAGGTAAAAGGGTTGTCGTGTGAATCTACGTTGAGCACGATGCGCCCAGGTGGTTTGACAGACGTCCTGGTACTGAATAAAACAGGCGTTCAACGGATATTAAAATAAGGATGTTATTTGTGTGATTTTCTAGTATATCACAACAATGTCGAAGTAGAGCCTGTATATGTTCTGGGTACCAAGTTCTATCTACAGGAGCGAACACAAACACCTGTTGAGTTTTCTTAGGTTATATTTACTGGACAAACAGAGATACACAAGCGAGGTGGCTCTCCTTACTCTGTCTGGGGGGTCAACTAGTCTTTCAGGCGACATGTGGCAAGTGATATATTAGCAGCTTCCATATGTCGCCAGGCACATTAATTAAGTGTGTGTGACATGGTAAATACATTGCCACA